CCCTATGATTGATGGCTGGCCGCAATGGGTTGCAATTGGTGATTGGTTGCTTTAAATGCCAATATTTATTCCAAAAGCGCTGGCTCTGCAAAAGTATTTTGTGTTTTGTGAGCCAATGGGGCCACCAATTGCAAAATGGTATAGATGACTCTTGTAGCCCTTGATGAGCTCTACAGATTGGGTATAGGGATCAAAGGTTGGGGCGAGCACTTTCCTTTTTGGGATACTAACGCTTTCCACCCAAAAAGGAAATTCATGACATTGCATGTGACAGATTACATATTGGTGCCAAGATTCCACGCCCTCTGTCTTATTTTGAAGAGCGAGCCGATGTTCACGGTCAGCGCTTCGTAACACCAAGCGCTCCTCATCCAATGAAGCCGAATTCGGGTGCACACCATTGTCAGGTCGCAAGTTGCTCACGTCCTGCATAGCACAGTGTGTAGGGGACACACGAGAAGAACATGATCCACAATATATTGGTGACATTGCAGCTCGACGCACGTTGCGAACACTTGTTTCGCGACGGTGGGCCCTAGAGGAAGACAGTGTAGGGGGAGGTGTCGCCCTTTGAGGTCCATTAGAGCCAGAAAACCCGGAGTCAAGAGGAACACACATATTCAAAAGCAGCAGTAGGACCACAAAAGCCCACCCTACCGTGAAGAATTGCATGAGCTACCAGAAGAAAGAGGTCTAACTCTTGGGGAGTTGTAAAAGCTTCGTCTATGTGACCACACAAACACCAAAAAGGGGGACCCCAACAAATCTCACTCTCATTAAACTCCGAGTGACGGTGTGGAAACAGATTTATTAGTGAGGGCAGTAGTACAGCAGGCTTACTGAGCAAGAAAGCCCGATCCAACTACCAAACACATATTACAGAGGTAAAGAAGAAAATGCATGTTGTAGGTAGCGAGACGCGCAAAGTGATGGTGTGAGCGGTGTCAGAGCTGTCAATATTGCGGTTGTTGAGTGTGTCACGGGTGTTCAGGTGTTCATGTTGAGATGTTAGGCGAGCAAGATTAAGAGTTCCTGGGCCAAGAACACGTTGAGAGGCCAGATGTTGTGCAGGATTTATGTTGGTGGTATAAGTTTGTCTCGGTTGTTTGTCTCAGTGTTTGTCTCGAGACAAAGCTGACGTGATTCCATGTCTTTTGTATAATAGATTTTTTGTTTTATTTTATTTAGGTTTTTGTTTTTGTTTTTGTTTTTTGTTTTGACTATGTGAACACACACCGAATAAAGCAAAATATCGACCTATCTACAAAGGTAAAACTAAACTTGCACAAATTTTGCTATTGGCCCCGGGAAATGCCGAGCCAATGGCAAAATTTGCGCAGGTTTAGTGTTCCCTTTGTATATAGGTCGATATTTTGTTTTACTCGGTGTGTGAACAACATTGGAGAATTTGCACTAAAAAAAAATTGACATTGGAAGCGACATGACTCACACCTGAATCCAACAGGCAGCTTCCACAGCAAGGACCAAACATATGAAGCAAAGCTTATGTGGATGGAGGAGTCTGTATTATAAGGCTTCAATTTATGCTGGTGAACCGTAAATATCAGTAGATATCAGTCATCCCGGTATGGCAGTCCGTTGGCACTTTTAATAAAACAGGCATATTTTTACTGCTTTGCTTGAAATATTGACAGATTTTCATATATTTTGTGCGTTTTAAGATCTTCTGATGAAAACTACAATTTAACATTCTGCATGTCGTGATTTCAATCTTGTTGAAAAATGATAGGCTTGTTGATGTGCCACTTTTTCTGGACAAACATGGCGATATTCTTTTTGGGGCAGCGTTTTTTTTTTTTTTTGAGGTTACACACTTTTATTAGCTGTGTGTCAACCTTTTTTCTGCTTAGGGGCTAGTGTTGCCGTGGCTCGGCTCGGCTTGACTGAGCCGCCAGGCTAAGCCAAAATATCAGCCAGCCATAGCCAGCCGATCAAGCCACAGCTGAGCCGTGGCCCAGCTGGGAGCCTCGAATGTCCGGTCATTGCTGTCAATTTGCTCAATTGACATAAGCCACGGCTGACAAGTTACACAACTTGATCGGTTGGCTACAGCTGGCTTATTTATGGCCTGGCTTGGCGGCTCAGTCAAGCCGAGCCGAGCCGCGGCAACACTAGCCCCTAAGTAGAAAAAATGTCGACACACAGCCAATAGTGGCGGTCAGACAAGACGATTCTGGGCGATTCTCACGTCAATTATGACGATGATTCTGCTCAGAATCGTCTTTAATTTAAATCAGAGTCAGAATCGTGTTTGAGAATCGTTGTAGAAGCTCCTCCAGAGGCGCTTCTACAACGATTCTCGAGACGATTCTGAGTTACGACGATTCTCCCACAATAAATTAATTCCAGAATCATCATCAGAATCGCCTCTTTAAATTTTACTCTGACCGCCACTAATAAAAGTATGCAACTTCCAAAAAAAAGCGATTTTTGTCCAGAAAAAATCGCACATCTACAAGCTATCATTTCTCGACAAGATTGAAATCATGATATGCAGAATGTTGGATGGTAGTTTTCATCAAAAGGTCTTAAAACACACAAAACATGCGAAAATCTGTCAATATTTCAAGCAAAAAAGTAAAAGTATTCCTGTTTTATTAAAAGTGCCAACGGACCGCCATATCCCGGATCTGGGTTGCATTAGAAAGCATAACTAACTTGTTGTTTTTGTACCCGCAGTTTGAGTGGGTGACTTTCCATAAGCATAAACAATTCTACGAGCATTATTTTCAGCGGTTTTGCCGAGAAGCCGAGACAGCTGTCAGGACTCCATCGGACTTGGATCTCAAATTTTTCATTTTCGACCCTCTTGTAAACCTTAATTTATTATAATCTGGAGAGGGGCCCCTACCCCCCCCTCCAGATTATATTTCTTGTTGAATAAACAGATTTGGCCACATCGCCGAAATGCCTGACCAAATTGGGCTGCATGTCACAATAGTCATACCTGTCACCGTTCTCTTCAGCTCTTTAATTTGACATCTGAATCCAACATACGACCTTGTTCCATGCCTGATGTCTCCAATGTATTCAAGGACTCTGCCCAACAAATTTTTGCATATAGAACAAGGCCATACCATTTTCCTGTTGGCGATCGGATGAGAAAAAACAAGCGATGAAGGCTTATCATATATTGCCGAAGCTGCCGAAAATGCATCCAGTGGAGCACTTCAGCTTTCGAAGCGAGGACACGTCGGTTGGTGGTGCAAAGGGACGGGAAGGACATAAAGAGCTGTGTTAACAAGGATATGTAGCTATTCTATTCTGGGGAACCCACCCAGACTACATTTTTGGATTAAAACCAGATGCCGACATCGTTGGCACCACTCAGATAATCCAAAAAACATATTTCATGCTTATGGAAAGTCACCCAGCGATATACCTATGCTATGCAAGTTTGTAAGAAAAAGAAAAGAGGGCATTGTTTCTGCTATAGGACCCAGGCCTGAATCGAACAGGCAACTTCCCCATTCAAACATGAAGCTGTCATAGATGATCATGTGCAGATGCGGACCATCCGCCACCGAGTCTGTACTAAGACTGTATGGATCAGGCTTAACACTGGGGTTGTCAAACACCGCGAAATTCATGCACCCGGGTAGTGAATTCAATGACTCACTATCTATGTGCGTGAAAATGGTTTCGCGTACCTGGCATCCATTTTGAAATTCAAAAGACATCTTCCACAATACATGATGGTGACTTCCTCACTTAGACTGCGATTACATTTTAGATCAACTATCATGAAAATCTGTCGTGAAAGTGCCACTAGGTCGTTTCAAGACTTGCGAAAGCCTGCCCTAAACCTTTGTGACGGCATTACTCCAAGACTTGATATATGAAGACTCCACACTCTCTCACACGCTCTCTTCGACCCGAACCCCCACCACCAATTGCATCGTCTACCACCACCCGTACAAGGGAAACTGCTGAACAGATGTTTCTGGGCCCATCGCCGTTGTCTGTGAGTTATGCCAGCATCTGTGGCAGCTCGGGCTGAAAGCCGCTCTCAGAGTCTGGCTTCACAGTATTGACAGTTTTGCGGGCTGTGAGAGAAACGATTGCCACACAGTGGTGCGAGTCTTGTTCTCTGTTGATTCATACTTATCTCACATAGCTCAGACTGCGGCGGTGAACTCGGCGGTGTGGGACGGTTGATGAGCCATTCGTGGATACCACTCTAGTGAGTACAATCTTTTCTTCCCTTTTTTCAACTGTTGTGAAGGAGAGGCCAACGAAACCGTTCCGAGAGTATATATCTGGAAGGAAGATCAGAACGACGTTATAACCCTGAAATGTTTGTTAGCACGTAGTTACGTGATTGTATTTTTCATGAAAAATTGCATCGCATTTCATCACCTTTTCGTGTGATTCTCCGTATAATGGTCAGTGAATGGATGTATTAACCATGCGCTCGTCTTGTACAATTCACGTCAAAAGATGGTACTTTTTTATCGTTAAAGCTAACTTTTTCTACGCGAAGTTCATGTAGTTTTTGCTGCATGAAATTCATGGAAATTGCACGAAATTCAGGAACTTTCATGGGGAAAAGTACTATAAAACATAGTGATCCATCTGCGTGAATTTCGCGGCACTTGACGACCCCAGTGTAAATCTTACCCAGTGCCGTGAATCTTTTTTGAATACTTATATACATGCCGAAGAGGAATTGTGTTGCATGTCCTCGGTCTCATTCATCCGTGACGTCAATAAATTCCAAGTTTGTACGATATGTGACTTTGCTCCTTGTTTTTTATTTTATTTTATTGGTTTTGTTTGACTCTGCGAACGAAATCGGGAATTTGCACCTCAAAAAAGGTATCAAGACGCTGCATGAAAGACGCTGCATGACTCGGGCCAGAATCGAACAGGCAGCTTTGTATAAGGTTTCAGTCTATCCAATAACCCATGAATATCGGGGAATATGGCTACGCCCCGAATCCGAGTCTGTAAAAAAAAGAAATCACATTGGTTCGCGAGGACTCGGGCCTGAATCGAACAGGCAACTTCTGCATTCAAGCAATCGGGGAAGGGACCATCATACCATCATGTGCAGATGCGGAACCATCCGCCACCGAGTCTGTATTACAAGCTTCAATCTACCCAGTAAACCATGAATGTTTTGTGAGTAGTTATATACGTGCCGGAGAGGAATTGTGTTGCATGTCCCTCAGCCACATTCATGTGTGACCTGAATGAATTCCAAGTTGGTACAGTATGTGCCTTCATTCCTCGTTTGTTGTTTTGACACTGCGGACAATATTGTGAATTTGCACTAAAAACATATATCAAACGAAAATATGACCCGGGCCTGAATTGAACAGGCATCGGAACCATCCGCCACCAGGTCTGTATCAAGCCCTGGTGAACCATGAATATTCGGAGAGTATTTAACTTAACTTGGCACAGGATTGTGTTGCACGGAGGAAATAATTATCTCGTTTGTTGGAGTATTTGACTCTGAATCAGAATTCAAACAATATATTATGGATTTGCACTAAAAAGAAGAAAGGAAAAAGAAAATTGAGAGAGTAGCTATGACCTGGGCCTGAATCGAACAGGCATCTTCCGCGTCATGCAAAACGTCTGAAGTAGTTTGTGCGGATGCGGACCATCTGCTACCAGGTCTGTATCAAGCCCAGGTGAACCATGAATATGAGAGTACTTACCTTGGCACAGGAATTGTATTGCACGGAGGCAATGGTTATTTGTTTGAGTTTTGGACTGTGAAATAGAGTTGGAGCCACATGTGTGAATTTGCACTAACAAAAAAGAAGAAGAAGAAAAAAGTGCTTTAAGATAAGGCGGTATGACCCGGGCCTGAATCGAACAGGCGGCTTCTGCATTCACACAGCCTACTCTTTCATTCTCTGCAGATGTGGAACCACCCGCCACCGAGTCTGTATTTATTAGGTTTAATCTGCGCTGCTGAACCATGACTATTCAGTCAGTACTCAACTTAACAAGGAATTGTGTTGCACGGAGGAAATGATTCTCTTTTGTTTGAGTTTTGGACTGTGAAATAGAGTTGGAACGAACAGGCGGCTTCTGCATTCACACACGCCTACCCTTCGATCTTCTGCAGATGCGGAACCATCCGCCACCGAGTCTACATGTATCAGACTTGAATCTGCGCTGGTGAACCATGAATATTCACGAAGAATTACCCAAGTAATTTCGAACCACAACAGTTGTGAATTGGTGGGGAAAAAAACTGGTCAATGAATGGCAGCATGACCCGGGCCTGGATTGAACAGGCAGCTTCTGCATTCAGATTAAGTACAGCAACTTTACACATATCTTCTGCAGATGCGGACCACCCGCCACCGAGTCTGTATTATAAGGCTTCAATCTATCCACTCGGCCGTGGATCTTTTGTTCTGTGAGTACGTGATAAGAGGAATTGTTTTGCATGTCCCTCGGTCCATTCACGTGTGACTGAATGACTTCCAAGTTTGTACAGTACGTGACTTCATTCCTCGTTTGTCGTTTTGACACTGCAGACAATATTGTAAATTTGCGCTAAAAAAAACTACGAAGCGCAAATATGACCCGAGCCTGAATCGAACAGGCTTCTTCCGCATCATGCAAAGCCTAGAGGAGTACCTTATGCGGATGCGGAACCATCCGCCACCAGGTCTGTATCAAGCCCAGGTGAACTATGAAGATGAGAGTACTTACCTTGGCACAGGAATTGTATTGCACAGAGGAAATGATTCCTTGTTTGTTTCAAGTTTTTGACTCGGAATTTGAACAATATATTGTGGATACAAGCGGCTTCTGCATTCACACACACGCCTACTTTTTTATCTTCTGCAGATGTGGAGCCATGTATTATTAGACCCCAATCTTCGCTGATAAACCATGAATATTCAGTCAGTACTCAACTTGACACAAGAATTGTATTGTACGGAGGAAACAAATATCTCGTTTGTTTTGAGTTTTTTTGACTGTGAAATAGAGTTGGAGCCACATGTGTGAATTTGCACTAAAATGAAGAAGAGAAAAAGGAAAATCGAGATAACAGCGCTAACATGACCCGGGCCTGGATCGAACAGGCGGATTCCACATTAAACTTGGAACGTACAAAGGAAGCTTATGTGGATGCGGAGCCACCCGCCACCGAGTCTGTATCTATTAGGTTTAATCTGCGCTGGTGAACCATGAATATTCGGAGAGTACTCGACTTGGCACAGGAATTGTGTTGCATGGAGGAGATAATTATCTCGTTTGTTTGAGATTTTTGACTGTGAAATGGAGTTGGAGCCCGATGTGTGAATTTGCACTAACAAAAAATAAAAAGAACAAAAAATGCTTTTAAGATAATGTGTTGTGACCCGGGCCTGGATCGAACAGGCGGATTCCACATTAAACTTGGAACGTACAAAGGAAGCTTATGTGGATGCGGAACCACCCGCCACCGAGTCTGTATTATTAGACTTCAATCTGCGCTGGTGAACCATGAATATTCAGTCAGCACTCGACTTGGCAAAGGAATTGTATTGTGTTGCACGGAGGCAATGGTTATTTCGTGTGTTTGAGTTTTTGATGTGAAATTGCGTTGGAGCCACATGTGAATTTACATTCAAGAGAAGAAGAAAGATAAAAGAAAATTGAGAGAGGAGCACTATGACCCGGACCTGGATCGAACAGGTGGCATCTGGATTCAGATTATGTACATATGGTCTCTGTATTATCTTCTGCAGATGCGGAACCATCCGCCACTGGGTCTGTGTGTATCTAAGTATCTAGTGTGCTCTATTCTAGCGAATATCAGCAAGGACTTGCCAAACCGGCGAGACACCCGGGTCAATGAGGGAGAACCGCTATTGGTTGGGAGCTTCGGCTAATACGACCGGCGCCACGGCTTCAACCTTTGGAGCGATGAATTGAGTTGATCAATTATTTCTTGCATGCAGCCACTGTTGCCGATATCATTCGGAGCTCTCGGCCGTCCGCAATATATTAATAATTTACTATAAATATAGAAATTTCTAGTTTGTCGATCATGGTAACACGTTACCGTTACCATCATCGATCTTCGCTCGCTTGCATGGCCATGGCGGGCTCCTATTCCCGACATCCCCGCATATCGACGATGAAATGATAATCTTCCCCTCTCAAACTGCGCACTTGTCAGCGCTCGCTGCATAAATTCAGGACAGTTTCGTCCGCCATCATTTGACAGAAGTAGGGTAGGGATCAGCGAAACGCTGACCGGCGTTGACGTTTCGCATGCATGCATGCAAGCGACAGGTAGTATTGCGTCAGGATGGTCGTTGTCGTCGTTAGACGCCGCAGCACAATACGATCTCCCTTGTAGTAGTCGGGCAAGCGTCGGGACCAAAGGTTGTCTGATTGGTTTCTTCTTAGCGTTCTGATTGGTTCTATTCGCATCAGGTCATTTCTCGTGCGCCCAACGTGGCGTTTTCATTTTCCTCGGTGAGGACTTAATCTCGTCCACGCTGCTCCCTTTTGTGCAATGCTCGCTGTTGTCCGTGGCCACCGTTCTGGTATACCAAAAGACGATATTAGCGGTGGCAGTTGTGTGATGCCGGTTGCCTGGAGTGACACGGGGGAATGATGGCAACCAGGCGAAAATAGACGGTGATATAAAAAGACGTGCCAGCTGACAAAAAGGGCTCTCCTTGGTTTCCCTTCTTCGTTCTTTCCCTTCCCCATCTTTCGAGCCAGGTCTCTCCAGTCCTCTGAGCAAGTCTCTCCTTTCTCTCCTTCCAATCTCTATCACTCCCAGTCCCAAGCACAAATGGTTTTCGTCGCGAGGTCCGTGTCTCCCCCTCCCTCCTCCTCGTCAAGGCCCTGACCGAGCGACCTTTTTTCAGCTTTCTTTTCGGTGCCGTGGTGCTCCCATCTGTGATGGGTCTCACCCTGAACACCCCCGTGACTACCGACGCGGACGGCACTCTCGAAGTTACCTGGACCACCGTGGCTGGCGACCCGTACGTCTTTTTCCCCTCAATCTACTTGTAAACTCATTCACTCTAGGACATTCGCCCTCGAGCTCAACGGCCCCATCAACATCGACGTCGCAACTGGTCTCGCCCCCGCAGCCCTCAAATCCAGCGTCGGCCTCGGCCAGATCCCCCCCGGGTGCGCGCGCTCTGATAAACAATCCACATCCTCTTTACTTACCTCTCTCTAGCACCTACACCCTCCAGGCCGTCGTCGGTGACGACATCGAGAAGGTCATCGCCACCTCCGGCTCCTTCACCATCGCCGCCGCCGGTGACCCCGCAGGCGCAGCAGCTGCTGCCGCCGCAGGTGCCGGTGCCGCCGCCGCCGCTCCCCCCGCCGCCGCAGCGCCCCCCGCCGCCGCCGCGCCCCCCGCTACCGGCGCTGCCGCCGCAACCGGAAAGGGCGCCGCCAAGGGTGGCAAGGCCGGAAAGGGCGGTGCCGCCGCCCAGGCCGCAGCCAAAGCCGCCGCCGCAAAGGCAGCAGCAGCAGCTAAAGCCGCCGCAGCCGCCAAGGCCGCCGGAGCCAAGGGCGCCGCCGCCGGAAAGGGAGGAGCCGCCGCCGCTGCACCCCCCGCTGCTGCCGCACCACCCGCTGCCGCCGCACCCCCCGCCGCCGCTGCTCCCCCCGCCGCAGCCGCATGCCCCCCCGTCGCCGCCGCTGCGCCCCCGCCAGCAGCCGTCGCCGCCAAGCCCGCCACCGCCAAAGCCGCCCCCGCCAAGAGCGCCAAGAAGGGCGGCAAGCGCGCGGTGAACCAGGTCCCCGAGGACGAGCCCTCCACCGCGCCCAACGGCGTCGTCGTCGCCATCAAGGACACCAAGCGCGCAGTGAACCAGATCCCCGAGGAGGAGCCCTCGACTGCGCCGAACGGCGTCATCTCGACGATCAAGGGCGGGCGCCGCATGGTGTCGGCCAAGTTTGGGCGTCGGGATTTGTACCGGGATTAGGCGTCGAGCGTTCGAGTTGTGGGTAGTTGGCTAGCTTTTTTTAACTTACGAATCCGCGTGTTGCACATGTACGCTTTCTGAGAATATGATAGAGGAGAGGCCTTGGAACCTTGAGCTTTTTTTTTCTTGTCTGAGCTTTTTTTTCTCATTTCGAGTACGACCTTTGTGAGGACGCATTTCTTTCTTTCTGTGGGCAGAGGGCTGCCACGTCGCAGGGGTCGTGTGGCGTGGTACCGTGTCACAGATTGACATATCTAGATGTGGATAGATGGTGATGGCCTAGACCGCGATATTTATTTGTAGACGTTCTAATTCGGAGCTTTGATACTTACCTCGGGAGGTCGTGGTGAGTTCGGAGGTCGTCGTGGGCTCGGAGGTCGTCGTGGATTCGACGACCGTTCGTTCCAATTCAACCCCGACGACGCCCGAAAGAATACAAAACAGGGGAGAAAAAGAAATTCCCATCTGTTCATCATGATGGAATCGCGGCGTGGCATACCAACGTGAAAAATATTGGTATAGGGATCAATATAAGTATAGCGTCGTCTCTGGCTCCGAGTCGGTCCTTCGACGCGTTGTAAAGATACGTACCATGGCCGGATCTGTTCTCACCAGCGAGTCTCGTTATAACTTTGATTAGGATTATTCCCAGTGCCTGCCAACTATCAAAGCATGATGCACGATGGCCGAAAACAAACTTTTTTCATCGTTTTCGTCATGATGTTTTTTTTTTTTTTTTTTTCGTTTTTTTTGCGACTTTGACCCCTGGGCCTAGTCGCTTTTATATTTGGTACAAGTCTTATTTTAGAGTTTTAAATACATTACATTTATTTTAAAGTCTTCGTGCCTTTGACTTTGATCCACGCGGTTTTTTGATGAACCGTCGTTGCACGGCCGTGATGCTTGCTACATGCGAACATTTGTTTGGGTTGAATTGGCAGTAAACAGGAGGTAAAAAAAGGGAGAAATCGATGTGCTTCCATGATGACTCGGGCCCGAGTCGAACAGGCAACCTTTCCTCTAAACTTCCACCCATAACCTTAAAAGTGAGGATGCGGACCGTCCGCTACCGAGTCGGTATTTATCGGGGTTAGATTTAGCTTGAATGTGTTGGAGTGAGTTGAATTGAATGGTACGACGGAAACAAAAAATGGTTTCTGATTATGCATGACTCGGGCCTGAGTTGAACAGGCAACCTTCCTCTGAACTTCTTTCGAAATTAAAGCCAAATTAATCGGGGATGCGGACCGTCCGCTACCGAGTCGGCATTAGGCAGGGTTGGATTTAGCTTGCATGTGTTGGAGTGGGTTGACTTCGGATAAAACAAAGGGGAAAAATGGTTTCCACTGGGGTCATGCATGACTCGGGCCCGAATCAAACAGGAAATCATCCTCTGAACTTCCATTGCCCCAAGATAAAGTTTGAGGATGCGGACCATCCGCTAACGACGGGGTGAATGCGGGTTGAATAAGTTGGAGTGAGTTGAATTGAAAGGGCAAAGGCGGGAACAAAAACGCCGATCGCACTGCCATGACTCGGGCCTGAGTCGAACAGGCAACCTTCCTTCCTCTGAACTCCATGGAAAACAACCAAATGAAAGTTCGGGGATGCGGGACCATTCGCTACCGAGTCGGTATTTAGCAGGGTTGAATTTTGGTTGAATGTAAGTGAGTTGAATTGAATTGGCCAATGGGAAACAAAAAAAATGGATCCGACAGGGGGATGACTCGGGCCTGAGTCGAACAGGTTGAAGTGAATGGCTAATGAAGAAAAAAAGAGGTTCGTGTTTCAATAGGCCATGACTTGGGCCTGAGTTGAACAGGCAACCTTCCTTCCCCTGAACTCCATAGAAAACAGCCAAATTAAATTTTGGGGATGCGGACCATCCGCTACGAGTCAGCATTTAGCAGGGTTGAATTTTGGCTGAATGTTTTGTAGTGACTTGACTTGTACGGGCAAAGCAAAGGGGGGGGGGGGGGGGGATTGGCTCGATATAGCATCATGACTCGGGCCTGAGTCGAACAGGCACCCTTCCTTCGTCTGAACTCCATAGAAAACAACCAAATTAAAGTTTGGGGATGCGCACCATCCGCTACCGAGTCTGTAGCTAGTGTGAATTTAGCTTGGTTATGATAATGAGAGGATTGAACAGGCCAAGAAAAGGCGATTGCGAAAACATGACTCGGGCCTGAATTGAACAGACAACCTTCCTCTGAACCAGGTTTAATCAAGATTACAGTAAAGAATTAAGGATGCAGACCTTCCGCTACCGAGTCGGTAACATGGATGAGTGCGGGTTGAATAAGTTGGAGTGAGTTGAATTGAATGGTACAACGGAAACAAAAAAAAATGGCTTCAACTACAAAACATGACTCGGGCCTGAGTTGAACAGGCAGCCTGCCTCTGAACTTTGCGAAACCTGCAAGACCAAAGCTTGAGGGTGCGCACCGTCCGCCACCGAGTCGTTGCAATACTTGAATTCAACTGTTGAATGAATCATGTCAAACTATGCGGTTCTCGTGGAAGGCATTTTTCGAGAGACACAGGGTCTTAGCTGGAAGGACGCCGGAATTATAAAGATTCAGTTTGTCCCAAAAACAAGAGCTCTACAGAAAATTATGACGTATCCATGGCACAGCAAAAAGACCTTATTCCCTCAAGACTATGACTCAGTTCTGAATCGAACAGGTAACATCCACATTGACAAAGCGAGCAGCTCATGCTCCGTGGATGCGGGCCATCCGCCACCGAGTCGTTGCAGTGCATGAATTGCACTCAAATAAATTATGTCAAAAAAAGTGGTGAGGATGCGGACCGTGCACTACCCAGTCGGTATATAGCAGGGTTGGATTTGGCTTGATTATGAGTGGATTGAGCTGAATGAATGGTACAACGGAAACAAAAAATGGTTCCTGATTACGCATGACTCGGGCCTGAGTCGAACAGGCAACTTTCCTCTGAACAATACGGTACAACCTTAAATTTGAGGATGCGGCCCGTCTGCTACCGAGTCGGTAACAGGGGTGAATATGGGTTTAATAAGCTGGAGTGAGTTGAATTGAATTGGCCAACGGGAAACGAAAAAAAATGGTTTTGACAGGAGGAAGATGACCCGGGCCTGAGTCGAACAGGCGACTTTCCTTCCTCTCAACTTCAGAATCACAAAATCTTTAAAGCATGAGGATGCGGACCCTCCGCTACCGAATCGGTACTTATAGGGGTTGGATTTAGCTTGATTATGAAACGATTGAATTGAATTGAATTGAACTGGCCAACAAGAAACGAAAAAAATAGTTTTGACAGGAGCAATGACCTGGGCCTGAGTCGAACAAGTAACCTTCCTCTGAACAACACGGTACAACCTTAAAGTTTGAGGTTGCAGACCGTCCGCTACCGAGTCGGTAACAGGGGTGAATACGGGTTGAATAAGTTGGAGTGAGTTGAATTGAATTGTAAACGGAAACAAGAAAAAATGGCTTCAACTGCAAACTAACATGACTCGGGCCTGAGTTGAACAGGCAGCCTACCTCTGAATTTTGTTCAAACCTTCAAGATCAAAGTTTGAGGGTGCGCACCGTCCGCCACCGAGTCGTTGCAATACTTGAATTCAACTGTTGAATGAATCATGTCAAAATATGCTGTTCTCGTGGAAGGCGTTTTTCGAGGGACACAGGGTCTTAGCTGGAAGGACGCAGGAATTATAAAGATTCAGTTTGTCCCAAAAACAAGAGCTCTACAGAAAATTATGACGTATCCATGGCACAGCAAAAAGACCTTATTCCCTCAAGACTATGACTCGGTTCTGAATCGAACAGGTAACGTCCACATTGACAAAACAAGCAGCTCATGCTCTGTGGATGCGGGCCATCCGCCACCAAGTCGTTGCAGTGCGGGAATTACACTCAAATAAATCATGTCAAATTGTGCTGTTCTCGTGGAAGGAATTTTCAAGGGACACAGGGTATTTCCCGGAACGAAGCTGAGAAACTGTAGAGATTTGTTTCGCCGCCGGACTGTCAAGGCTTTAGGGTTTGGGGCCATTCCTCGCGCCTGAGTCGAACAGGCGACTCTTCCTCTAAACTTTCACTCTCAACACCGATTCAAAGTGTGAGGATGCGGACCGTCCGCTACTGAGTCTGCATTTAGCAGGGTTAAACTTTGGTTGAATAAGTTGGAGTGAGTTGGATTGAATTGACTACCGAAAAAAGTATGAACTCGGATTATCCATGACTCGGGCCTGAGTCGAACAGGTAACCTCCCTCTGAACTTTCTTTGAAGTACGGTGTTGAAATGCGAGGATGCGGACCGTCCGTTACCAAGTCGGTAACAAGCTTGGATTTTGGTTGAATGTGTTGAATTGAATCAAATTGAACGGCATAATGGGAAGCAAAAAAAAAAAAAAAAAAAAGCGTTCACCTGGATCCGAGCATGACTCGGGCCTGAGCATGACTCGGGCCTGAGTCGAGCAGGCACCCTTCCTTCCTCTGAACTTCCATCTGCAGCGATAAAGCTAGAGGATGCGAATCGTCTGCTACCGAGTCTGTAGGAAGGTTAAATTTGGACAGACTCTATGGTGGTAGGACATGGCTCCTTCTCACCTGGCGCCGCTGATACCCGCTTCGCAGGGTGCCTTCAGGCGTGGTACTATTTCCGCACATACCGGAATGACCTGGTGGGCTCAAAACATTGGAAAGAAAATAGTGCAGCTGCGATTCTTGATCACTTTCGTCATTGTGTGTGATACAGCCCAACAGGCACTCATAACAGGTGTGTATGCGAGTTTGTCTACCCGAGTTCATGGGCCACAATTCCTCGCTCTGTCGGAGTGTCATGGTATTTTCAAATTTTTGTCAAGGAGCTGCACCTCTCAATTTTCTCTGCCACAGGTGTCTTCTGGTGCAGTTTATTCCCATTTCGGCCAATTTACATTATGAAATACAGAATTCTGCTATCCAGGGGTGAAAAATGTGAAAAAAATGCAAGTTTTTTTTCTTTATCAAAGCTATTGTTAAGCATTTGAATGCTTCCTTTCTGGGTCTTCCTAAAGTTGAGTTGTTATGTGTGTTGAATTTTGTCTGAAGTCTCCGTGCCTGACGAATTTTATGCTTGTCACAATCATCCTCAGGAGTTGACGAATTGACAAATGCAAAATGTCACGCGTCACACCCCCTGCCCAACTGAATGTAATCGTATAGTACTCTTGAGTTTGAATCCCGATACCACAGGATGGACCATGTAATAGAAAGAAAGAAAAACTGGCAGAACAACTGTGTATGGGTTAGGGTTTAACCCTAACCCTATGCACATCAGGCCCACATGAAATCGAGCTTTCAAGGGCGGTAGTTTAATCATCTCGGTAAGGAAGTGAAAGAAAAAGAAAAATGATGAATTACACTGGTTATTGAAGAGTGAAACAATGAGCAGAAAATGAAAACAAAACCACGGTGGTTCAAGTGTGCAATTTTATCAGCTTCATCTGAGGTTTCACAGTTTATTTACTAATTCCACCAGATCATCCAAATCTGTATTATCCTTGATATTCTGGCTATTCATTGACTGAAGTTTGCTGGGGCTTCCAGCTTGTATAGCTTTCAGCATTGCATGTTGTACAACCTTGTCGGAGGCTACTGTGTTCGGAGTTTTAGGGGGCACGGGTAGGGGCCGGATCTTCCGCACCGAACCCTCAGTGATTAGGGTACCGATAATACCCTGTATATAGTCTCTCGTAGACAGACGCTCTATACAACCTTGCTCGTCCCTCGCTGTATAGAGTCTGTTAGTTACCGCGGGGTCGTGTATGTAGTGCTCTCTTATTACGTGATCTTACATAAGTCTAGGAGGCGATGGTTCGAACCCGGCCGCAACACTCATTTTAAAAACAAAGTATTTTGCTGCCCCGCAGCCTTAGGTACCTCGCATTCGTATTTCCAAGCTGCAAAGAGGCTCTGGGTGATTTATCATCTTTTTTAGGCTATTGCAAGGTCAACTTTAACAATTTGATGTTTCTGAGCCGAGCCGTTGCATACAAATGTCGCGACCTCCACAGCATATTTTCAAGGGCTTTTTTCAAGAAGCTAAATCAATAGATAGTTAGTAATAGATAATAAAGCCTCATAAGTCTTCAAATTAAGCAGAAAGTTTGTGTTTCTCATGGAAAGGGACGCGACTCGGAAAAAGCTTAGCTAAGATTATGTAATAACGGAGCACTGCATACACAGGCCCGCGGTAAACACCAGACTACTCTGAACTTCCATTCAGTACAATGCTAAAGTGTGAGGACGCGGTCCATGCGTTACCGAGTTGGTAACAGGGTTGAATTTGGCCTGATTATAAGTGGATTGAATCAAGAGTAGGCTGAAATGAACAGGTGAAGAAAGGACAAATGGTTTCGGACTACGCATGACTCGGGCCCGAGTCGAACAGGCAACCTTCCTCTGAACCTCCTTTGTGCTCAGTACAGAGCCAAAATTTGAAGATGCGGGCCATCCGCTACCGATTCTATAAGAAGGTTGGATTTAGCCCGGCTATGATGGAATTGAATGGAATTGAGTGGAATTGAATTGGCCAACGAAGAAAAAATATTCTGGACAGGAGTCATGACTCGGGCCTGAGTCGAACAGGCACCCTTCCTC